CCTCTATCTGCTGTGACCCTCTATCTGCTGTGACCCACCACCTGCTGTGACCCTCTATCAGCTGTGACCCTCTATCTGCTGTGACCCTCTATCTGCTGTGACCCTCTATCAGCTGTGACCCTCTATCTGCTGTGACCCTCTATCTGCTGTGACCCTCTATCAGCTGTGACCCTCTATCTGCTGTGACCCTCTCCTTGCTGTGACCCTCTCCTTGCTGTGACCCTCCACCTGTTGTGACCCTCTCCTAGCTGTGACCCTCCACCTGCTGTGACCCTCTATCAGCTGTGACCCTCTATCTGCTGTGACCCTCTATCTGCTGTGACCCTCTATCAGCTGTGACCCTCTATCTGCTGTGACCCTCTATCAGCTGTGACCCTCTATCAGCTGTGACCCTCTATCTGCTGTGACCCTCTATCAGCTGTGACCCTCTATCTGCTGTGACCCTCTATCTGCTGTGACCCTCTATCAGCTGTGACCCTCTATCTGCTGTGACCCTCTATCAGCTGTGACCCTCTATCAGCTGTGACCCTCTATCAGCTGTGACCTTCCATCAGCTGCGACCCTCTATCAGCTGTGACCTTCCATCAGCTGCGACCTTCCACCTGCTGTGACCCTCCACCTGCTGTGACCCTCAACCTGCTGTGACCCTCCACCTGCTGTGACCCTCTATCAGCTGTGACCCTCTATCAGCTGTGACCCTCTATCAGCTGTGACCCTCCACCTGCTGTGACCCTCCACCTGCTGTGACCATTTATCTGCTGTGACCCTCTATCTGCTGTGACCCTCTATCTGCTGTGACCCTCTATCAGCTGTGACCCTCTATCAGCTGTGACCCTCCACCTGCTGTGACCCTCTATCTGCTGTGACCCTCTATCTGCTGTGACCCTCCACCTGCTGTGACCCTCTATCAGCTGTGACCCTCTATCAGCTGTGACCCTCTATCTGCTGTGACCCTCTATCAGCTGTGACCCTCTATCTGCTGTGACCCTCTCCTTGCTGTGACCCTCCACCTGCTGTGACCCTCCACCTGCTGTGACCCTCTCCTTGCTGTGACCCTCCACCTGCTGTGACCCTCTATCAGCTGTGACCCTCCACCTGCTGTGACCCTCCACCTGCTGTGACCCTCAACCTGCTGTGACCCTCCACCTGCTGTGACCCTCTATCAGCTGTGACCCCTCTATCAGCTGTGACCCTCTATCAGCTGTGACCCTCCACCTGCTGTGACCCTCCACCTGCTGTGACCATTTATCTGCTGTGACCCTCTATCTGCTGTGACCCTCTATCAGCTGTGACCCTCTATCAGCTGTGACCCTCCACCTGCTGTGACCCTCTATCTGCTGTGACCCTCTATCTGCTGTGACCCACCACCTGCTGTGACCCTCTATCAGCTGTGACCCTCTATCAGCTGTGACCCTCTATCTGCTGTGACCCTCTATCTGCTGTGACCCTCTATCAGCTGTGACCCTCTATCTGCTGTGACCCTCTCCTTGCTGTGACCCTCTCCTTGCTGTGACCCTCCACCTGTTGTGACCCTCTCCTAGCTGTGACCCTCCACCTGCTGTGACCCTCTATCAGCTGTGACCCTCTATCTGCTGTGACCCTCTATCTGCTGTGACCCTCTATCAGCTGTGACCCTCTATCTGCTGTGACCCTCTATCAGCTGTGACCCTCTATCAGCTGTGACCCTCTATCTGCTGTGACCCTCTATCAGCTGTGACCCTCTATCTGCTGTGACCCTCTATCTGCTGTGACCCTCTATCAGCTGTGACCCTCTATCTGCTGTGACCCTCTATCAGCTGTGACCCTCTATCAGCTGTGACCCTCTATCAGCTGTGACCTTCCATCAGCTGCGACCCTCTATCAGCTGTGACCTTCCATCAGCTGCGACCCTCTATCAGCTGTGACCCTCTATCAGCTGTGACCTTCCATCAGCTGCGACCCTCTATCAGCTGTGACCTTCCATCTGCTGTGACCCTCTATCTGCTGTGACCCTCTATCAGCTGTGACCTTCCATCAGCTGCGACCCTCTATCAGCTGTGACCTTCCATCTGCTGTGACCCTCTATCTGCTGTGACCCTCTATCTGCTGTGACCCTCTATCAGCTGTGGGCTGTAGCACATCTGCTCACCTGCCTGCAGGCATTCAGTGTCTGTCAATGACATTCACTTCAATCAGACACAGAAACAATTCAACCAGATGTTAAAGTCAGATTGGTTCAAAGTTTTCTAAGAAAAACTGACCGATTGCATCAACAGATGTTGCCAGTCAGTTTGTTGGCCCTATTTTTGTGTCGATTGTTGGAACATAACCAGCATTTATGCTTAAAAAACAAACCTATTGGACATGTGGGACGGAGTCCATGTCTGTCCACTGGACACATTTTAACACAGCGGCTCGCTACGCTGAAAAAGGCTGAATCCTGCATATAATTGTGTAAAAAGAATATATGAAAATTCTTTTTTTCCGTATGAAAATGGATGTGTCTCGCTAAACTAAACGAATCACATGATCACTGATCATACTGCTGCTGTAGTAGGAGGATAACAGGGCGCCATGTTTTTATGAGTTAATGCTTTAACAAACGTTTTCACACATGGTTTAAATTGCATTTCTTATTTAATAGAAAAACAGCAAATAAAAACCTTTTTTTACACTAGCTGAATATCAACATAGTTTAGTTTTTAGTTTATAAAAATAAGAACCCTTCTATTAGTTCAAGAAAAGCATCTAATTATAACGGATATCTCTCAGTTATTATCAGAGATGGCAAAAGTACTCACTTTCTGTACTTGAGTAAAAGTACAGATACTTGTGTTAAAAAATACTCTGGTAAAAGTGGAAGTACTGATTAAACTTCTTTACTCAAGTAAAAGTAACAAAGTACAGGCTTTTAAATTTACTTAAAGTCTAAAAGTAAAAGTAGAAACCACTTTTTTCATGCCGTTGCCAACATTTTAAATGGATGTCTGCCAATAGGACTAGATCTCCGTTGTGTTCATTTTCAATCATCTCGTCGTCCATGCTGCTATGCTAACGCCACCGCCACCAAGCTGCAATGATTTGCCGCCAATGAATACCGCCGAATCTGTCGATTCATCTTGTAGTGGTGCGTCAAATGCAACGTAGATTCCCATCCAATTAGATTGAATTTGGTATTGATGACGTGAAAAATAATAACGGTAACTCCATTGAAATGATTCAAAACTAAAGTAACGAGACAATTTTTTTAAAATGTAAGGAGTAGAAAGTACAGATATTTGTGTAAAAATGTAAGTAGTAGAAGTAAAAAGTCGCCATAAAATAATTAGGAAAGTAAAATTATCCGAAAAATCTACTTGAGTACAGTAACGAAGTATTTGTACTTCGTTACTTCCCATCTCTGGTTATTATGGTTGCTTTTCTAAAGCAGTATGGAAGGAATGGATTCAGTGGTTTAATGCAGGAAGAGGAAGTGTATCACTTTCATACAAACTGCTAAGAAAAAGTTAAAGGAGAAACTAGAGGAAGAAGAAAGCAAAGTACAGAAACAACAAACTAGAGATAGACAGGATTTTCAGCATCTGTTTTAGAAGGATCTAACAAAGCTGTTTGCTCTCTGATTGACTTAGGATTGGGACTGATCTGTGCTATGAAACGATGATTGACGGAGGCCATGCTCACCAAAGAACGCTGCCGTTAGCCGCATTCTGTCGGCTCCCAGGGGCCCCGCCGTGGGGTGGTTCCCTTAGGGCGCTGCCTTTTATCTCTGTGGAAAGATGGGAGCCACATTGGGGACGGAGAGGGTTAAAAAAAGCAAATTTCACACTTTATCCTTGACAGGATACAGTTTGAGATATAAAAAAACCCACCTCAGCCCAAGAAAAGCAAATATAAGACGAGACAAATATTTCAGCAGAGGGAAACCTTTGGAGGCTGAGAGCCACATTAGTGAGTGTGTTCAGTTTGTCCATGAACGATTTCCAGAGAAATTGACCTTTAGAGATGGAAGTTTATCAACTGGCGCTATAGCTCTGAACGCATCCACCGGTGTCTGTCGGTAGGGGAGGGGGGGAGCCCTTCCGCCATGAGGAGCTTTGATAAGGGGGAGCCCCAAATCCATCCATCCATCCATCCATCCATCCATCCATCCATGCATCCATCCATCCATCCATCCATGCATCCATGCATCCATCCATTTTCTTACCCGCTTGTCCCGAGTGGGGTCGCGAGGGGTGCTGGTGCCTATGTCCAGCAGTCAATGGGCGAGAGGCGGGTCCACCCTGGACAGGTTGCCAGTCCATCGCAGGGCAACGCCAGATCCAAAACACACTTTTGTTTTGACAGCAAGTTGCACAGAGTCCTCCATCAGCCTTGAGCCTATTGTCGCTGGGCTCCATTTGGCAAATCCAATATTCTGAATGTGTTGCGCTTTTCCACCTTGAAGTGAGCGTGCACATCCAACATATTATCCCATCTTTGAGTTAGCTTGTTCTCCTTGTGAATGGTGGATTCTCTCCAGGTACTCTGGCTTCCTTCCACCACAATCCAAAAACATGACTGTCGGGTTAATTGGCTTCTCTAGGTTGTCCTTAGGTGTGCGTGTGTGTGGGTGTGTGTGTGAGTGTGTGGGTGTGTGTGTGCGGGTGTGTGTGTGTGGGTGTGTGCGTGTGTGTGTGTGAGTGTGGGTGTGTGTGTGCGTGGGTGTGTGTGTGTGTGTGTGTGTGTGAGTGTGTGTGGGGGCTGGGAGGTTTTGTACGTCTCTGTGTTGCCCTGCGACAGACCGCCGACCTGTCCAGGGTGGACTTCCTGAGATAGTTACCGGTGCTGATGGAGAAAACAGGAGAATATGGATGGATTGTATATTGAATAAATCATTTATTTAATGGTTGTTATGGGTAAAATATGGTCATCTTATTCAAAAGAAGCATTTCTGCTATCTGCTATGCTCTTTGCTCCTTATGCTAATAATGCTAACTGTATCTACAAAGCAGTAGAAAATGAGAGAACTTTGTGGATTTCAGGTGAAGGACCTGGCCCGGTTTAAGCCCATGCAGAGGCACCTCTTTCTGTACGATAAGATGCTGCTGTTCTGTAAGAAACGAGAGGAGACCAGCGAGGGCCATGAGAAGACTCCATCCTACAGCTTTAAGCACTCACTAAAGGTCAGGAACTCCTCTCTGTTTAATCCTAGAGCTTTTTAATGTCTGCAGGAAATGTCATTGCTAATGAATGAGGATTTTCAGCAACGGCTGAATTGCCGTCTCTGCTGAGCACAAACTGAAGTGTTTTCAAATGACTAAGATTTACAGATGTCACATGACAAACCATCACAAAATGATGCAACTTGGCAAAAGTCATCAGCTGGAACTGGCTGGGATCCTCTGTCCTGGAGGGTCTGACTGACGCCTCCTGTCTGCCAGCTGCCGCCCTTAATAACTTATAAGATCATTTGTTTTCTTAACTTTTGAATATTATACATGTTAAAAAATCTGGTGGTTGAGGAGAAGTTTGAACCTTAAAAAAAACAAATGAAATGTGTAAGTCTTGTCCTTCTAACTCATCACCGTACGCTTCGAACCTTTACTAAGAACACATTCAGTAGTGACTTTGTTACAGTGGGCAGGTGATTCTATTCTGTCTATATCTATGAGTCTAATCATTTCTCCAGCATAAATCATGTTGTGGATAAAGACAGTGAAGCCTGGAAAGCTGCAGATACAGTAGTTATAACAGAAGCTGGTTTATTAAATCGCTGCTCATGTCTCCTGCATCTTTTTCTCTTCTTTACCATCTAGATGAGTTCAGTGGGAATAACAGAAAATGTTAAAGGAGACCATAAAAAGTTTGAGGTGTGGTATAACGGCAGAGAAGAAGTCTACATAATCCAGGTATGTTTGCAGTTAGACATGATATATTTTCACCTCATGTTTAAAGATTAAATCTCTGGGTTTATCTTTAGTAATAAGGTCAATCAGCAACCATACCTAACAATCAGGTGGAGGCATCAAAGACTACCTGACAAACAGACCACAGGTTGGTAGACTGACGGCTCAGCTGTCTGATCCAGCAGCTCAGGAGCACCACGGAGCACGGTTCTCTCTCCATTCCTTATTCACCTCTGACTTCCAGGACCAGACAGAGTCCTGCCATCTGCAGCAGACCTGGGATGACTCTGCAGTCATTGGGAGCATCAAAGATGGAGCAGAAGCTGAGGACAGAGAGCTGGTGAAGCGTTTTGTGGCATGGTGTGGAAACAATCATCTGATCCTGAAGGTCAACAAAACAAGGAGATGATTTCAGAAGAAACAGGAACAAGTTGAAGCCTGTTAACATCCTGGGAGAAGAAGTGGAGGAGGAAGTAGAAATCCCTTGGTGATTCCAAAAAAAGTTAAATAACAAACCAGTGGACTTCGTTTTCCTAGTTTAAAGACGTTTCTCTTCCCACCAGGAAGCTTTTTCAATTCGACATTTCTAGATTAGTGGATTAGAGTTCCAGGCTTCCTAGAGTGGACCAACAAAGCCTTGTTCTGGCTTAGAAAACATGCAGATTAAACCGAAAGAACCGGTTCAGCAGCCAGATGCTACAGATCTTCTGTTGTGAATAGTGACATCTCTCCTGCCATCGTCTGCTGCAATTACAGTATCAGAGCTGTTGACTTAAAAACCTTAAGCTGCTAAAGAAGGCCGGCTCAGTTCCAGGAACTCCTCTAAAACATCTGGAGATGATTTCACAGAGAAGAACGTTCCATAAAGCAAACAACATCATGGACAACAGTGACCAGCCTCTGCAGAAGATTTTAAACACCAACAGTGTCTTCAGTCAGATGCTTCTGCAGATCTGGTGCAGGTCAGACCTCTACAGCAGATCTTTCCTCCCTGCAGCAGCAACATTGAAGCACTGCCCATTAGTTACTGCAACCTTTAATTTCCCTTGGGGTTAATAAAGAAAATGAAATTTTAAATGCCCCAGGAGGTTTTTTAGAGCACTATAAATAATAAACATGTGTCAAAGCATTTACCTTAATTCCTGGAAACTTTCCTGAGAATCTCTTTTCTTCATAATCTGTTGAAACTACGTGAACAAATCAAACTCATTATGTGAAAACCAGTTTAATTTACAGTCACTGTCTGACCAGATTCTCCAAAGCCCTGAAAAAACCCTGAGACATTTTCATTCAACTGTTTCATTACAAAGTTAACAAAAAAACTCAGTCATAAACAATTTCAATAACAATCTCAATATTAACAACCGCAGCGGTTCCCTGTGGCACTGTGCTGCGTTCCATAAACAATAAACTGAAATACATTATTGCAAAAGGGAAATTAAAAGGGAAATTCAGAAACATGATTTCCAAAATGTAAAGCTAAGATTTCATTTAAAGAAAAAACAATTAATTCAGTGTGTAGATTTATCCTCTGGACTGTATGTGATAATCAACCTTTTTTTCTGCAGCTGACTGTTTAGATAATCAAAAATACAATAATAGAATAGGTTATATTACCTGTAGAGCTAAATCATGTTAGGTTTACCATAAGAAAACAGTGTGTTAATTCAGACAAGGTATTAATTTAATGTTGTAAAATCAATTTATTCTCCTGTGGAAGTATAGTATGAAGACAGTCATGAATCTTCTGCAGCCGACCAGCAGAGGGCAGTGTTGTAACACGCAGACTGTCTCAGATCTTGGTTATTGGTCCCTGTATATAATGTTATAGTGATATTAATAATATGATATTAGTAATATTATAGTGATTGGTCCCTGTATATAATGTTATAGTGATTGGTCCCTGTATATAATGTTATAGTGATTGGTCCCTGTATATAATGTTATAGTGATTGGTCCCTGTATATGTTATAGTGATTGGTCCATTTATATAATGTTATAGTGATTGGTCCCTGTATATAATGTTATAGTGATTGGTCCCTGTATATAATGTTATAGTGATTGGTCCATTTATATAATGTTATAGTGATTGGTCCCTGTATATAATGTTATAGTGATTGGTCCATTTATATAATGTTATAGTGATTGGTCCCTGTATATAATGTTATAGTGATTGGTCCATTTATATAATGTTATAGTGATTGGTCCCTGTATATAATGTTATAGTGATTGGTCCCTGTATATAATGTTATAGTGATTGGTCCATTTATATAATCTTATAGTGATTGGTCCCTGTATATAATGTTATAGTGATTGGTCCATGTATATAATGTTATAGTGATTGGTCGCTGTATATAATGTTATAGTGATTGGTCCCTGTATATAATGTTATAGTGATTGGTCCATTTATATAATCTTATAGTGATTGGTCCCTGTATATAATGTTATAGTGATTGGTCCCTGTATATAATGTTATAGTGATTGGTCCATTTATATAATGTTATAGTGATTGGTCCCTGTATATAATGTTATAGTGATTGGTCCATTTATATAATGTTATAGTGATTGGTCCCTGTATATAATGTTATAGTGATTGGTCCCTGTATATAATGTTATAGTGATTGGTCCATTTATATAATGTTATAGTGATTGGTCCCTGTATATAATGTTATAGTGATTGGTCCATTTATATAATGTTATAGTGATTGGTCCCCGTATATAATGTTATAGTGATTGGTCCCTGTATATAATGTTATAGTGATTGGTCCATTTATATAATGTTATAGTGATTGGTCCCTGTATATAATGTTATAGTGATTGGTCCATTTATATAATGTTATAGTGATTGGTCCATTTATATAATGTTATAGTGATTGGTCCCTGTATATAATGTTATAGTGATTGGTCCCTGTATATAATGTTATAGTGATTGGTCCATTTATATAATGTTATAGTGATTGGTCCCTGTATATAATGTTATAGTGATTGGTCCATTTATATAATGTTATAGTGATTGGTCCATTTATATAATGTTATAGTGATTGGTCCATGTATATAATGTTATAGTGATTGGTCCATTTATATAATGTTATAGTGATTGGTCCATGTATATAATGTTATAGTGATTGGTCCCTGTATATAATGTTATAGTGATTGGTCCCTGTATATAATGTTATAGTGATTGGTCCCTGTATATAATGTTATAGTGATTGGTCCATTTATATAATGTTATAGTGATTGGTCCATTTATATAATGTTATAGTGATTGGTCCCTGTATATAATGTTATAGTGATTGGTCCATTTATATAATGTTATAGTGATTGGTCCCTGTATATAATGTTATAGTGATTGGTCCCTGTATATAATGTTATAGTGATTGGTCCATGTATATAATGTTATAGTGATTGGTCCATGTATATAATGTTATAGTGATTGGTCCCTGTATATAATGTTATAGTGATTGGTCCCTGTATATAATGTTATAGTGATTGGTCCATTTATATAATGTTATAGTGATTGGTCCCTGTATATAATGTTATAGTGATTGGTCCATTTATATAATGTTATAGTGATTGGTCCATTTATATAATGTTATAGTGATTGGTCCATTTATATAATGTTATAGTGATTGGTCCCTGTATATAATGTTATAGTGATTGGTCCCTGTATGTAATGTTATAGTGATTGGTCCCTGTATATAATGTTATAGTGATTGGTCCATTTATATAATGTTATAGTGATTGGTCCCTGTATATAATGTTATAGTGATTGGTCCATGTATATAATGTTATAGTGATTGGTCCCTGTATATAATGTTATAGTGATTGGTCCCTGTATATAATGTTATAGTGATTGGTCCCTGTATATAATGTTATAGTGATTGGTCCATTTATATAATGTTATAGTGATTGGTCCCTGTATATAATGTTATAGTGATTGGTCCCTGTATATAATGTTATAGTGATTGGTCCATTTATATAATGTTATAGTGATTGGTCCCTGTATATAATGTTATAGTGATTGGTCCCTGTATATAATGTTATAGTGATTGGTCCATGTATATAATGTTATAGTGATTGGTCCATGTATATAATGTTATAGTGATTGGTCCATGTATATAATGTTATAGTGATTGGTCCCTGTATATAATGTTATAGTGATTGGTCCCTGTATATAATGTTATAGTGATTGGTCCATTTATATAATGTTATAGTGATTGGTCCCTGTATATAATGTTATAGTGATTGGTCCCTGTATATAATGTTATAGTGATTGGTCCCTGTATATAATGTTATAGTGATTGGTCCATGTATATAATGTTATAGTGATTGGTCCATGTATATAATGTTATAGTGATTGGTCCCTGTATATAATGTTATAGTGATTGGTCCCTGTATATAATGTTATAGTGATTGGTCCATGTATATAATGTTATAGTGATTGGTCCATGTATATAATGTTATAGTGATTGGTCCATGTATATAATGTTATAGTGATTGGTCCCTGTATATAATGTTATAGTGATTGGTCCCTGTATATAATGTTATAGTGATTGGTCCCTGTATATAATGTTATAGTGATTGGTCCCTGTATATAATGTTATAGTGATTGGTCCCTGTATATAATGTTATAGTGATTGGTCCCTGTATATAATGTTATAGTGATTGGTCCCTGTATATAATGTTATAGTGATTGGTCCATTTATATAATGTTATAGTGATTGGTCCCTGTATATAATGTTATAGTGATTGGTCCCTGTATATAATGTTATAGTGATTGGTCCCTGTATATAATGTTATAGTGATTGGTCCATGTATATAATGTTATAGTGATTGGTCCCTGTATATAATGTTATAGTGATTGGTCCATTTATATAATGTTAAAGTGATTGGTCCCTGTATATAATGTTATAGTGATTGGTCCCTGTATATAATGTTATAGTGATTGGTCCATTTATATAATGTTATAGTGATTGGTCCCTGTATATAATGTTATAGTGATTGGTCCCTGTATATAATGTTATAGTGATTGGTCCATTTATATAATGTTATAGTGATTGGTCCCTGTATATAATGTTATAGTGATTGGTCCATTTATATAATGTTATAGTGATTGGTCCATGTATATAATGTTATAGTGATTGGTCCCTGTATATAATGTTATAGTGATTGGTCCCTGTATATAATGTTATAGTGATTGGTCCCTGTATATAATGTTATAGTGATTGGTCCATGTATATAATGTTATAGTGATTGGTCCCTGTATATAATGTTATAGTGATTGGTCCCCTGTATATAATGTTATAGTGATTGGTCCCTGTATATAATGTTATAGTGATTGGTCCCTGTATATAATGTTATAGTGATTGGTCCCTGTATATAATGTTATAGTGATTGGTCCATGTATATAATGTTATAGTGATTGGTCCATGTATATAATGTTATAGTGATTGGTCCCTGTATATAATGTTATAGTGATTGGTCCCTATATATAATGTTATAGTGATTGGTCCATTTATATAACGTTATAGTGATTGGTCCCTGTATATAACGTTATAGTGATTGGTCCCTGTATATAACGTTATAGTGATTGGTCCCTGTATATAACGTTATAGTGATTGGTCCCTGTATATAACGTTATAGTGATTGGTCCCTGTATATAACGTTATAGTGATTGGTCCCTGTATATAATGTTATAGTGATTGGTCCCTGTATATAACGTTATAGTGATTGGTCCATTTCTATAACGTTATAGTGATTGGTCCCTGTATATAACGTTATAGTGATTGGTCCCTGTATATAACGTTATAGTGATTGGTCCCTGTATATAACGTTATAGTGATTGGTCCATTTATATAACGTTATAGTGATTGGTCCATTTATATAACGTTATAGTGATTGGTCCCTGTATATAACGTTATAGTGATTGGTCCCTGTATATAACGTTATAGTGATTGGTCCCTGTATATAACGTTATAGTGATTGGTCCCTGTATATAACGTTATAGTGATTGGTCCCTGTATATAACGTTATAGTGATTGGTCCCTGTCTATAACGTTATAGTGATTGGTCCATTTCTATAACGTTATAGTGATTGGTCCCTGTATATAATGTTATAGTGATTGGTCCATTTCTATAATATTATAGTGATTGGTCCCTGTATATAATGTTATAGTGATTGGTCCGTTTCTATAATATTATAGTGATTGGTCCGTTTCTATAATATTATAGTGATTGATTGGTCCGTTTCTATAATGTTATAGTGATTGGTCCATATATATAATGTTATTTATGTTTTTTTTCTGCTTTAGGCTCCATCCATGGAGGTGAAGAACATGTGGGTCTCAGAGATCCGTAAAGTTCTTACTGGTCAGCTGGAAGCATGTCGAGGTTAGTTTACACACATCTCTGCTTTTATTTATTAGATATATGTTTATTAGATATACTTCACATGGTATATAATATATTTTTTTTAAATGATAGCAGGTTATTTTATTAAATACTGAACACAAACATTCCTCAAAGTTATTGTTTTTCAATGTTGGACATTTAAATACTGGTCTATCATACTAGGGCTGTGCATCTATCTATCTATCTATCTATCTATCTATCCACCTATCCATCCATCCATCTATCCATCCATCCATCCATCCATCCATCCATCCATCCATCCATCCATCCATCCATCCATCTATCCATCTATCCATCCATCTATCCATCCATCCATCCATGTTTAGGGGCCCCCAACCTCTTAGGGGCCCCGTCACTGACACCTGGTGGGCCCCAATGTAATGGTGGTTAAACCCACCTGATCCTAGAGTGACCGTATTTACACACCGTATTTATACCGCAACACATGGCAGATTTCACCATGATGGTGAGCCGTTACACACGACACCAGTAGCAAAGCAGACTGTGGGACCTTTAATTACTATGTTAATAACTGTGTATAGATTATTAGATGGTTGGTAAAAAAATACACTCATATAATATGTTTCAAACTGCAATAAAGACCTTATTAGAACAAATATATTTGAGCATTTAATTTTTTAGAATACGACTTGGAATTATGGGTAATCCAGCGTGTAAATTAAAACCATAACCATTAGGTACAATATGTTAGTGACGATGGATACCAAAATGAGGTACTTAAGCGGATACCAGAAAAGAAAAAGCAAAGAAGAGCTGCTGGAAGAACGGAAAAAACTCCTAAATTAAACCAGTTTCTTCAAAGAACTGCAGAGATGGGGTGTTGTACTTTCTATGGGGCTCACCCAGGTAACGATGTTTAAGGGCCTATTGTTGTGTTTGTTACGCATTGGAGAGTGGAGAGGAAAAACTCCCTTAGAACCGGAAGAAACCTCCAGCAGACCTGTTCACTGTGAGCGGCCATCTGCTGAGGCCGACTGGGGTTCAAGTTTTTATTTTTGATGAAAGGATTTTATAAAATAGCTTTGCATAGAACTAAAGGTATGTCTTTTCAAATGAACTATGGTCAGAAGTCACACAGCGTGTCTCTGTGTGGTTCCCTGCTTTGTTGTGCACGGACCAAAACATTCACCTTAAGACCATAAGGTATCTTTGTCCCCAAAAATAAAGCCCTGAGTATAAATGTTTCAGTGTTTTAGTCACCAGTCTGTGGAGCAAAGCAGATGACAGATCTGGAAATGTGCCTCTGCTCTATAAATGGTTCCTCTCTATCCGCTTCATTCCACGGCTCTATCAGGCCTCTCAGCTGCCCTGCAAAGAAAGTTTCTGTAAGTGCAGCGTCAAACCATCTCAGATCTCCAACAATTAAACCTTAGTTTTTATAACTACAACCCTGGCCTGCTGTAGGCCACCATTCTGGGAAAAGAAATCTCTGTAAATGAAAAATGTAAAATAAAGTCCCATTCTCTGCTTGTCTGAGTAAAATGCGGTGCTCTGTGAGTGATCTGGCTTATTGCTTCCCATTCCCAGCAACCGATGAGTCTGTCCCAGAAATGCAGACTGTGCATAGACCCATTCAACACGCAGCAGAAAGAATGGATCTGCTTTCATGGACTGAGCAATGTTTTATTCATAAAGGCTGATTATTCTGAGGTGTGTAGACAGCAGAGAACAGCAACAGCTCCTTGAAACAAGTAGTTATGCATGAGGAGAGATTTATTGTGCAGCGCATGCTCATTTCCTCCTGCGTGTTTACAGCTCGTCTCAGTTAATTCAGCCAAATCTACATTACTCTGCTATTCAAAACATGACTTATTACACTATTAGGCTAGGCCATGGTGGTTAGAGGGTACGGTATGTAATAGAGGAGTGTAGGTAATTCCATCCCTCCTTTATATGTTGGGTCGGATCTGTCGGAGCCAGTCGCTCTATGGAGACGCTGCTCTAACTGATGCTCTGAATATGTTCAGAGCGAGGCCTGTGCTGCGTCTCACCACCATCAGATGAACACAGAATGAATGAGTTAAAGATGCTAACAGGATCAGACCAACTGAAATTAATCGGTTTTTAAGGGGGGGAATCCTGAGACATCGTGGCGGCCATTATTTTAAGATGTTCTTCAATGTTGGACAAACTTTGTTTCCTTCATCCAGACTTCATACGGGAAACGCCGCTGAATGTTACTGGAAAAACTTATCTTCATGCTTTCATCCAAAGTTAGGTCTGTTTCATAAGGCGGTAGTTTCTAAAGTGGGGGCCAGGGCCCCCAGCGGGGCCGGCATGTCTACTAATAGAGAAACGGTTGCCAGACACGAGATGGGGGGGGGTTTGCAGATGCTTTTTGTTATCCAGTTAGTTAGTGGGCGGGGCTAACGTAGATCCTTGGGGGAATGTAGGGAGGCGAACTGCATGATGTTAGCGACATCTGATGACCTTCTGACCTGCGAAATATCCATCCATCCATCCATCCATCCATCCAACCATCCGCAGTCCATCCATGATGTTTGCATCATTTGGAATGGAAAATGGTCAGTAATGGATCCAGGTCTGATTAACCTGATGTTTGTTTGCTTTTATGTCCTAATTGATCAACATGTATGACCATCACATAATTACTAGATTTCTCCATAAAAATTTTCCTTTCATTTTAGTTTCACTATAAAATATATGTAAAAAATGAAATATTAACAATACTGCTTCTCTTGACTTCACAGAGGCCAGCCAGAACAGCAGCTATGGCGTCCCCATGAGGTAAGAAGGAAACCCACTGAAATATCTGCTTTAGAAACATTATGTAAAGTTTAAGCTTTATTTGTTAGAAACTGATCTAATAATAAGTAAAAATGTCATAAAATGTGTTTATTTGCTTTAAATTTGGGCAGATAAACCAGACGATCATTAGCAAATGGTTTAATCAGCTCAAACACTTATTTAAAAAGAAAAACTGGCCTACCTAGCGATAAATATAGAAAACGTTTTGGAAACAAACTCCATCCACGTTTTCTGTTACCTTATTTAAGAATTCATTTTGATTTCCAACCTTTAATCAGAATCATAAATAATTTAATAATCCCAGAGGGAAATTACTTTTGTTGCACGCTCCAGTTACAGATAAAGATAAAATTAATAGAGATAAAATATATACACATATAGCTCTTCTGTATATATGTATGTATGTATGTATGTATGTATATATATATATATATATATATATATATATATATATATATATATATATATATATATATATATATATATGCATATTTAAAAAACTAAATCCAAGTAAAGTGATAATCTTCCCAAAGAAGGTTGGTTCTTGAACAGCTGCTGCTGAAAGGACTGTGCAGGGTGGGTTCGTTTTGTAATAAACCAGGTTAATACTAACCAGGTTAGTTTAATTGTTTTATTGGTGCTTTTATCTGTGATCAAAGGGTGTCATATAACAGTGAGCATATGGAAAATGTAACCCATCATCATTGGGGTGAATAACAGGAGAACTGGACTTTATGGGCTGAAGAGCCAAAGGACAGTTGACAGTTTATATTACGTCAACAAAGGGACAAACTTGGAAAGGGCCTGTAAAGCTTCGACCACAGCGTGGTATATGAACACTCACTCCTGCTAGGAGCCTCGTTAACGGCTCCATACGCCTCCACTGCCCTGCATGTTGCAGCACACCTGATTAAAGCTGGGCATAGTTGCATTTGCAATATTATTGCAATTGAGAAAAATCCTATTTTCAAGTCACAGAGGCTCTCAATGTTTAATCTCCCACCTGCCCATTAGGGGGCAGTAATGTTTAAAGTGGGCATGCTGTTCCACAGAGGGCAAGAAGTTACAGCTAATCCATAAATGCATTATTGTAGAAGTAAGAACTTGTTTGTGCAAATATTACAGTAAAGTCCTGCAGTCCTGGACTCTGGACTAGCAGACCTTCCAGGTCATGAAGAAACCCTGGAATAAAAACGTCCACATGATTGTTATTAGATCAAAGGATTAAACTGCAGTAGTGATTGAAAGTAATCGCAGTTTAGCTTTAGGTAAAATGAGCCTTAATCTAAATGATCACATGGACTCGCCCAGCAGCCACCAGGCGTGTCCATAGAACCACTGCCGTCATTTCAACAAGTTTACGTAACGCTGACTCAGCACTCCGTTCTGACTCGCAGACTGGTCCCTCTGTCTGACCCTGCAGGATTGTCCGTAAGATGGCACTGAGGCATTCTGATTCATCAAGTCCCGAGTCCGGATTGAGGAGAGCTAATCCCAGTCCCAACATGAGGCAGAAGAAAGGTCAGTGGTCCCACCTGGTCGCTTCTAACCGAGGTCAGAAGAATGAATCCGTCTGAGATCATTGAATGGATTCATTCCAAGATTCCAATAAACACGAAATAAACAGCTGACACCACCTGCTGGTGTTCACTAGGAAACTGGTCAACCCTCCACCTGTCTGCCTACCTCCACCTGTCTACCTCCACCTGTCTACCTACCTTCACCTGCCTACCTTCACCTTTCTACCTACCTCCACCTGTCTGCCTCCACCTGTCTACCTACCTACATCTGTCTACCTACCTACATCTGTCTACCTACCTCCACCTGTCTACCTACCTCCACCTGTCTACCTCCACCTGTCTACCTACCTTCACCTGCCTACCTTCACCTTTCTACCTACCTCCACCTGTCTGCCTCCACCTGTCTACCTACCTACATCTGTCTACCTACCTCCACCTGTCTACCTACCTCCACCTGTCTACCTCCACCTGTCTACCTACCTTCACCTGCCTACCTTCACCTTTCTACCTACCTCCACCTGTCTGCCTCCACCTGTCTACCTACCTACATCTGTCTACCTACCTACATCTGTCTACCTACCTCCACCTGTCTACCTACCTCCACCTGTCTGCCTCCACCTGTCTACCTACCTACATCTGTCTACCTACCTCCACCTGTCTACCTACCTTCACCTGCCTACCTTCACCTGTCTACCTACCTCCACCTGTCTGCCTCCACCTGTCTGCCTACATCTGTCTACCTACCTCCACCTGTCTACCTACCTTCACCTTTCTACCTACCTCCACCTGTCTCCCTACCTCCACCTGTCTCCCTACCTCCACCTGACTACCTACCTCCACCTGTCTACCTACCTTCACCTGTCTACCTACCTCCACCTGACTACCTACCTCCACCTGTCTCCCTACCTCCACCTGACTACCTACCTCCACCTGTCTACCTACCTTCACCTGTCTACCTACCTCCACCTGACTACCTACCTCCACCTGTCTACCTACCTTCACCTGTCTACCTACCTCCACCTGTCTGCCTACACCTGTCTGCCTACACCTGTCTACCTACCTTCACCTGCCTACCTTCACCTTTCTACCTACCTCCACCTTTCTACCTACCTCCACCTGTCTACCTATCTCCACCTGTCTGCCTCCACATGTCTGCCTACATCTGTCTACCTACCTCCACCTGACTACCTCCCTCCACCTGTCTGCCTTCACCTGTCTACCTACCTCCACCTGTCTGCCTCCACCTGTCTACCCACCTCCACCTGTCTACCTACCTCCACCTGACTACCTACCTCCACCTGCCTACCTCCACCTTTCTACCTACCTCCACCTTTCTACCTACCTCCACCTGTCTACCTACCTCCACCTGTCTACCTACCTCACCTGTCCAACTTCTCCACCTGTCTGCCTCACACTGCCTACCTCCACCTCACCTCCACCTGTCTCGACCTCCACCTGTCTAGCCTACTCCACCTGTCTACCTACCTCCACTGTCTTCCTACCTCCACCTGTCTACCTCCTCCACGCTGCCATGCCTCCACTTGTCTACTACCTCCCCTGTCTCCTCCACTGTCTGCCTACACCTGTACTACCTACCTCCACTGTCTGCCTCCACTGTCTGACTCCACCTGTCTGCCTCCAGCTGTCTGCCTCCACCTGTCTGCCTACACCTGTCTACCTACCTCCACCTGTCTGCCTCCAGCTGTCTGCCTCCACCTGTCTACCTACCTCCAGCTGTCTGCCTCCACCTGTCTGACTCCACCTGTCTGACTCCACCTGTCTGCCTCCAGCTGTCTGCCTCCACCTGTCTGCCTACACCTGTCTACCTACCTCCAGCTGACTACCTACCTCCACCTGTCTACCTACCTCCACCTGTCTGCCTCCAGCTGTCTGCCTCCACCTGTCTCCCTACCTCCACCTATCTGCCTACCTCCACCTGACTACCTACCTCTACCTGTCTACCTACCTCCACCTGTCTGCCTCCACCTGTCTACCTACCTCCAGCTGTCTGCCTCCACCTGTCTGCCTCCACCTGTCTACCTCCACCTGTCTACCTACACCTGTCTGACTCCACCTGTCTGACTCCACCTGTCTGACTCCACCTGTCTGCCTACCTCCACCTGTCTGCCTCCACCTGTCTGCCTACCTCCACCTGTCTGCCTACCTCCAGCTGTCTGACTCCACCTGTCTGCCTCCACCTGTCTGCCTACACCTGTCTGCCTCCAGCTGTCTGCCTCCAGCTGTCTGCCTCCAGCTGTCTGCCTCCACCTGTCTGCCTACACCTGTCTACCTACCTCCACCTGTCTGCCTCCAGCTGTCTGCCTCCACCTGTCTACCTACCTCCAGCTGTCTGCCTCCACCTGTCTGACTCCACCTGTCTGACTCCACCTGTCTGCCTCCAGCTGTCTGCCTCCACCTGTCTGCCTACACCTGTCTACCTACCTCCAGCTGACTACCTACCTCCACCTGTCTACCTACCTCCACCTGTCTGCCTCCAGCTGTCTGCCTCCACTGTCTCCCTACCTCCACCTATCTGCCTACCTCCACCTGACTACCTACCTCTACCTGTCTACCTACCTCCACCTGTCTGCCTCCACCTGTCTACCTACCTCCAGCTGTCTGCCTCCACCTGTCTGCCTCCACCTGTCTACCTACCTCCACCTGTCTGCCTCCACCTGTCTGCCTACCTCCACCTGACTACCTACCTCTACCTGTCTCCCTACCTCCACCTATCTGCCTACCTTCACCTGACTACCTACCTCCACCTATCTGCCTACCTCCACCTGACTACCTACCTCTACCTGTCTACCTACCTCCACCTGTCTGCCTCCACCTGTCTACCTACCTCCAGCTGTCTGCCTCCACCTGTCTGCCTCCACCGGCCTTACCCCCACCTGTCTACCTACCTCCACCTGTCCTCCTGAGGTGAACAGGTTATACACTGAGGCGTAACTCTATCTCTAAATATTTAAAGATCATTTTGATCATTAAAGAAAACGAGGATGTTCTAATCATCTCTTCTATCGATGGATGTGAAGAGTAGAGGTTTTATTTCCCCCATCAGAGCTCAGAGGCAGATGCTGGAGGGATGGTTTATCAGGTCTGTCTGAACCGGGCGGTGCTCCTACAGAAACTATCAACCTGTATTTCTAATTATAGGGTTAGAGTTAGCTATACCTTTTATACCATCTACATGGACCAGTTTTGGTCAGCAGCCTTTTCTGCCCGCCCGCTCGCTTTGGCCCGCTTGCAGAGGATGTTGGCAGTTGTTGTTTTTCTGCTTCTTCAAGGTATTACTTTGAACATTATTTTGAACATTGTTTTAATTTTAACAGCTTTACAGAGTTCTATGGTTTGAGTTTTTGTGTTTTATCCACCAACTGACATCAACCTCCAACATCAGCGGATTATTGGTCACCTCCGGCTGTCAGTGGTGAACAGTGTTTGGCTAACCGCTAGCTCCCGGCTAACTCTCCGGTGACCGGCATGACGCTCACATACTCCATCTGGCTCTCAACAACCAGTACATTCCTACGTGCACTGCAGCCATCAGAGAGATTGGACTTCATCCGCGTTACATCTGTGGAAGTTCCCGTCCAAAGTTTGTTTACCTTCAGTCTGGCCCACAATTAGCCTTCCATCAATCTGGAAGGCGTACAATCAGTTAGGTGTTGTTCTCGGTGCTAACAACACAGGAGATCTTTGCATGCTCAGATTCAATTCAATTCAATTCAGTTTATTTATATAGCGCCAAATTCACAACACACGTCATCTCAAGGCACTTTACAGTTCAACCAGATCATCCAGTCAAATTGATACATAGTTTTCTATCTAAGGAAAACCAGTTGATTGCATCGACTCAGTTGAGTCGCAGAGATCTCCTGGGTTGTTAGAACTTTTTAACTCCCATTCCCTCAAGGAGAAAGCATCCTTCCTACACGACCACCTCACCAACAAGAGACTTCATGTCTCTCACAGAAACATGGCTCCAGCCCTCCAGTTCTAGCTCCGCTCACAGAGTCGGTTGACTTCTACAACTAGTCTCTGTGAAGTTTCCTAGATCTCCACATCCCTGTCAAAACTAGAAATGTCAGCTTCTGACGCTCGGCCCCATGATACACCTTTAAACTACGGCAAATGAAAAAAGCTGGCTGAGTGAACGGCACCTCAGAGTCACTGTTCATAGGCAGCCCACAGTAAACATCAGACATCTTATGCAAGTTCCTTGAGTGATGCACATTCACCGTATTATTCTAACAGCAGCCCTGGCAGCTTCAAGCAACTTTTTTCAACCATGAATTACATCCTCAAACCGCAAACTCATAAAAAGAGGCAGAACAGAGGTTCAACAATTTTATCAGTTAGAAAGTAGATACAATCCGCTCCCTGCCACACGGTTTCCCACACTGCCTTTATATCTTATCTTATACATATCTCTTCTCTTCCTCCTGGACTTGACTACAGCGTTCAACACTGTGGATCAGACATCTTCCACTCCACTGAGAAAACTCTAATCATGTCTCAGACTCTGCATCACACTGATAACAAACCAAATACTGCATATTTGCACCTTATATTTTAATGCTCTGAACTTCCAGATCAATGCGTCTTTGGCCCATGTTTTTTTTTCTGTTTACAGTTGATCACTGCTGGACTTTATGGAATGGAAATGTTCACTTTCTGTCTGAAAGCTGTACTAAACGAAATTTAGTTTTGTAAACAATAAACAGTGACAAATGACAATAAAAGTCTCAGAATATCTCTGATTCTACACTAATATTTATAAACTAGTGGAGTAAATAATGGGTTTCTAGACATTGCTGCTAATTCAGGTTCCCAGCTTTACTAATTAACCCTTTCTTTGCCTTGCTGTACCTTTCCACTCAGCTGATGCTTCAGGCCAATCAGCTGTTAATGCTCGGAAGCATTTCACCTTGCAGGGACTGTCCAATAGGCGCTCTCTTCCAGCAGGTAACAAGTGTCATCATCATCATCAGTAGCAGCAGCAGCATCTCCATTATTATTGTTGTTTTATCTACTGCCTCAACATCATCAACATTCCGTGTCTGTCATGTAGCTGTTTCCATTCAACATCAAACTGTGAAAATTATTTTATGAAAATAAATTAGGTTCAGGGTGACGGGGGTCTCTGGTCCTTGCTGATAAGGCTGGTAGCGGATTGGAAGAACGTGAAGTTTTGGTCCTGATGGAGCTCAGCCTCCTGCCAGAGGGAAGGGACTGAATAGTTTGTTTCTGGGGTGCGAGGGATCAGCCACCATCGTCTCTGCAGGCCTCAGAGTCCTGGAGGCGTACACATCCTGGAGAGATGGAGGATGGCAGCCAATCACCTTCTCTGCAGACTGGATGAGGCGCTGCAGTCTGCCCTTGTCCTTGGCGGTGACACCAGATGGTGATGGAGGAGGTGAGGATGGAGGAGGTGATGGAGGAGTAGAACTGCACCATTGCTGTCCTCAGCAGGTTGAATTCTTTCAGCCGCTGCACGAAGTTCATCCTCTGCTGGTCTTTCTTGGTGAGGGAGTTGATGTTCAGCTCCTACTTTAGGTCCTGTGAGATGATCGTTCCCAGGAAGAGGAAAGACTCCACAGTGTCAATCGTCCCAGAGGGTCATGGGGATACTCGGGGCTGAGTTCTTCCTGAAGTCCTCAACTATTTCCACTGTTTTTAGAGCGTTGAGCTCCAGATTGTTCTCCCTGCACCAGTTCGCCAGATGGTCAACCTCCCACCTGTAGGCATCACCATCAGAAATGAGTCTCATGAGAGTGGTGTCGTCCACGAACTTCAGAAGCTTGACAGACTGATGTCTGGAGGTGCAGCTGTTGGTGTTCAGGGAGAGGAGCAGAGGAGAAAGAACAGCCCTGGGAGGAACCAGTGCTGATGAGCTGGGAGTAGGAGACATGATTTCTCAGCTTCACCTGCTGCTTCCTGTCAGACAGGAAGTCTGTAATCCACCTGCAGGTGGAGTCCGGCCCTCTCAGCTGGGATGATTGGATTGATGGCAGAGCTAAAATCCAAAACAGGATCCTGGCGTAGGAACCTGCAGAATCCAGATGCTAGAGGATGGAGTGAAGGGCTGAGTTGACAGCATCGTCTGCAGATGGTCCAGGAGGGGGTCAGTGATCTGATCAGGTGTGAAAGTACAAGGCACAGAGGATGAAGAGAGCACATCCAGTTAGTCACAGAATAGTCAGAAGAAGGGAGAGTCTGACGTTTAGAGGTGAAAGCGGATCTAGAAGCTGCTGCTCTGTTTTGTTGCTCTTACATGTGGTCTGAGAAGCTTTCTCCTCTGGCCTTTAGTCAAATATAAGAAACTGATTGATTTGCATTAACTTCCCATTGAAGGAAAGTTTGCTGGATCATTTTTCATGGTTTCTATCCTTTCCATCCTTATATTAGTTTCACTCTGAATTTTGCGTTTTCTTCATATATTTCAAAGTGTTGCTTGGTGGCGGTGGAAAGGTGAAACATGAACAATCTCTTCATTATTTGAGTTTTTGCTCTCATCCTGTTGGTCTTTTCATTCCAGCCACATCTGCTGTTTTCCCTCTTTGCTCCATCAGTATCAGTGTTGATTTCATGGCTTCCTTTTCTTTTCTTAAAACTGATCCTGCTTTAGAGCCCACAGCCAAAGAAGCGGAGATTCCCCGTCGCTTCTCCCTCACTTCCTCTCTTGCCTCCTCTTCCTCTGCCATGCGACGCACCAAAGGTATTCACCCTGCACACCTTCCGTCTGGCTTTGCTTATACTCTTGCATTACAGCACTTTGCAACAGAAATATTAACCCTTCAGTTCTTCTACATTTAAAAAAAATAAAGACATTTTGATTGAGTTTGTTTCAAATATAGAAAATAGTTTTTCATTAATAGATAAATCATTGGAGGATGTCTGACAGCTTTAGCTAGTTTTCAGTTCTTCTCTGTGCTTCAGAACATTTAGCTTCATGTAACATAGAGGCATATGGGGGGGGGGGCACCTGTCATTCAGCTGATTTTCTTTATTTTCATCCTCACTGCTAAAACTTAAACTAGCAAAAACCAAATAATTTGTAAAGGCAAAACGTCTGGAAGATCGATGACTTTCTCTACAGGCAAAAATTCAACCTTTTTTAACACAAACACTAGATATGACCTAAGCTGACCTTCATCAAACATCTTTGCTGTTGTTTTGTTTTTATTACCTGACAAATAAATAAAGTTGATAATTAGATCACATCTGATCAATCAACCCCCCCCCCCAGTGCCGAATGACGAGGAGCTTAACGCTCCTCTGTAGCTAAATATTTTTTTCTGTCAGCTCATTTCCGTCTCGCCTCGTCTTCTCTGCCAGGTTCCCTCTCTGCTAGCATTAAGAGCAAGAGACACGAGATAAAGAGTGATCCTACTCCGTTTGGTTATGAAGGTATACGGAGGCTGGATGAATGTTCTACCTGTGCTGCTGCTGGTGTTTCTTATGTTTTAGATGTTTTTTATTTGTGAACTGCCTGAACATTGACTGTAGAACCGACTGGATGTTGTGTTGCATGACGTTATTATTGGTTTTTTTCTGTGATCCTGTGTCCTGCATGAGTAGAGCTGCAGTTTTTGGTTGGAGCTTCATTTCCATGACACCCCCTTTTTGTAAAATGATTGTTTATTTGGTATAAAGGCTTTGGCTTCCCTGCAGATACACTGCGTGGTGCGATTGCTGCAGGTGGGAAGCGGCAGAGCATGACCAGCAGCATTTCTAGTGTTGCTGGTAGCAAAGCGGCCGTCCCCAGATCAACCTCCCAGCCAGGTAACTGTAGAGCCATTTATGGGACATCTTGTTTGGAAAGGTTTGACATCAGCCATGAGAACATTTACCATCTCTGAAACGGGCTAAAGGATTTTAATGTATTTGGAGTGATGAAGCTTAGCTCTGCCCGTTTCCTTGTCTTAATGAGGAGTTATTGATGCTTCTGCTCTTCCTCTCCTGCCTGGCAGAGAGGAGACTCCTGATGTTTTATAAACCTCTCCAGATGATCAGCTAATCCAAAGTTACAGATGTGTGGCGTCTGACGCTTCATAGGTGTCCAGCTGTATAAAAGCAGCTGTATTTGAACAGAATCCTTCTTCTGTTCTCTTCTGCCTCATTTTAACATTAGATGCTTTCAATCCTCCTGTTTTAACCACAGGGAAACAATCCGCATTCATTTTGTTTCATACGGTCTAAAACTGTTTAAATGATAAAAATGTTCATCATTTTAAATAATATATATATTCCACAAAACTCAGAATAATGTTGGATTTAAGACGGAAACGATGGAGGGGATCCAACAAGTTGCTTCTCCTCCATCATTGAGGGTTTATGGGATTAATCCTAAATAGACCATTAGAATGTAGTGGGGTGGATTATTGTCCACTACAGATGAAATGCAGGAATATTCCACTGGTTTAAAATAGTTATCGAGGTTTTTAAATGGATCGGCATCAGGCTGTGCCTCTGAAGTTCCCTGCATGCATTTCACAACAAAAGCTGATCCAGAAAAAGGACACCTTTCTTCCAAACGTGTCCTTTACTTTAGGCAGGAAATTAAGATAATCTGCCAATTGAATTGATATTGCTAATTCTCAACTCAACTCAGGAAGATGCAGTTATTTTGATAAAAAGATGACAGATTGATATGACATTGATCTCAGTGAAAGAAGTGATTCTGCATGGAGCCCACTGGATTGATTGACTGATTGATTACATCAGTTTAAATAGTCAGAAAGAAGGTGCCAAAATGAGAAAAAAATAACAGCTTAAGTCTCTAAATTTAACAGGATTATGACTTAGACAACGTGTATCGCGTTTACAAACAGGGTAGATACAAAACAAAATTTTGTTATAGTATTATACAGGGCTATTGCACAGGGTATTAACATAGGTATATATATATATATATATATATATATATATATATATATATATATATATATATATATATATATATATATATACACTACCGTTCAAAAGTTTGGGGTCCCCCAAACAATTTTGTGTTTTTCTGAAAAGTCACACTTATTCACCACCATACGTTGTGAAATGAATAGAAAATAGAGTCAAGACATTGACAAGGTTAGAAATAATGATTTGTATTTGAAATAAGATTTTTTTTTTTTACATCAAACTTTGCTTTGGTGAAAGAATCCTCCATTTGCAGCAATTCCAGCATTGCAGACCTTTGGGATTCTAGCTGTTAATTTGTTTAGGTAATCTGGAGAAATTGCCCCCCACGCTTCCAGAAGCTCCTCCCACAGGTTGGATTGGTTGGATGGGCACTTCTTGCGTTCCATACGGTCAGGCTGCTCCCACAACAGCTCAATGGGGTTCAGATCTGGTGACTGCGCTGGCCACTCCATTACCCATAGAATACCAGCTGCCTGCTTCTGCTCTAAATAGTTCTGCACAATTTGGAGGTGTGTTTAGGGTCATTGTCCTGTTGTAGGATGAAATTGGCTCCAATCCAGCGCTGTCCACTGGGTATGGCATGGCATTGCAAAATGGAGTGATAGCCTTCCTTATTCAGAATCCCTTTTACCCAGTACAAATCTCCCACCTTACCAGCACCAAAGCAACCCCAGAGCATCACATTACCTCCACCATGCTTAACAGATGGCGTCAGGCATTCTTCCAGCATCTTTTCATTTGTTCTGCGTCTCACAAACGTTCTTCTTTGTAATCCAAACACCTCAAACTTGGATTCATCCGTCCACAACACTTTTTTCCAGTCTTCCTCTGTCCAATGTCTGTGTTCTTTTGCCCATCTTAATCTTTTTCTCTTATTGGCCAGTCTCAGATATGGCTTTTTCTTTGCCACTCTGCCCTGAAGCCCAGAATCCTGCAGCCGCCTCTTCACTGTAGATGTTGACACTGGTGTTTTGCGGGTACTATTTAATGAAGATGCCAGTTGGGGACCTGTGAGGCGTCTGTTTCTAAAACTAGAGACTCTAATGTACTTATCTTCTTGCTCAGTTGTGCAACGCGGCCTCCCACTTCTTTTTCTACTCTGGTTAGAGCCTGTTTGTGCTGTCCTCTGAAGGGAGTAGTACACACCGTTGTAGGAAATCTTCAATTTCTTAGCAATTTCTCGCATGGAGTAGCCTTCATTTCTAAGAACAAGAATAGACTGTGGAGTTTCAGATGAAAGTTCTCTTTTTCTGGCCATTTTGAGCGTTTAATTGACCCCACAAATGCGATGCTCCAGAAACTCAATCTGCTCAAAGAAAGGTCAGTTTTGTAGCTTCTGTAAAAGAGCTAAACTGTTTTCAGATGTGTGAACATGATTGCACAAGGGTTTTCTAATCATCAATTAGCCTTCTGAGCCAATGAGCAACACATTGTACCATTAGAACACGAGTTGCTGGAAAATTGGCCTCTATACACCTATGTAATATTGCACCAAAAACCAGACATT